GGGGGGGGAAGGGAGAGGTTAGAAGGGCACTACATGTTCGTGGCAGTCTCCAAATCTTGTGACGGATAAGCATATTTTTAAATGGGGAATGAATCTCCGGGTAGCAGACCCTGTTAGCTTCTTCAGTATCTTTTTGGTTCTTGTCTTGGGTATGCTGGACTGTGGACTGATCTGTATTTCAGGGCCACTCTCCTGCTCTGAATACCTTGTAGGGAAAGGAGAACTTAGCTTTGGGTCAGTTGGTTGTACCTTTCCACCTAATTAGCTTTGTCGTTTGGGGAATTAATTTGAGAAATAATGGTGTTTTTGTGCTGAGACTGTGGATTCTGGAAATGAGCCCTAAGAGGAAGGTCTGATAAAAATGGCCCCAAATGGGAAGTCTTTGGTAGTTAAGGATACCTAGACATTCTTTGTGTGTTAGACTTTCTTTTGTGTGTTGTGGCACAAAATAACATTTCTCCCTCCTCTTTATTTAATCTCAGGTTTGTGGTACATCTTAGTGAAGGGGGGGATTATTTTTTTAATCATCCATTATCTGTCAGTTTTATTTTTATTTTTTTAAGTTTAAAAGACTTTCTTGAAGTGGACTCAATGTTGAAATGGTATTGCTTTTAGCAGTCTGTTTAGACATTGTTACATATATGGGTTTGTCGTCTTTAATCAAAGAAGAATGCTGTGTTTTTGTAATGTCCTGCCCTTCTTAATCCTCTTTTTAGTCTAGTTGAATTAGCTAAATTTAGTTGAGATGAATTAAAACTGCCAATTAGGTTAGTACTTGGAGCATAAGACTAAGGTTTAGGAAAAATAATGAATGCTTACAAATAGACTCATATCACATAATTATTTAAAAAATATTAATGCATACTGCATGGTTTTTAAAGGTTTTTTTGGTTAAAAGCTTGTATATAATTTGTGACTTTGTTTACATGTAAGAGTACATGTTAGAAACCAGCCAGGTGGGGGTAGGGGTTAGGAACAACCAGAGGCTGACAGTGATTGAGTGCCTGCCTTTACCGGCCCCTACATGTTTTATACACATCATTTCCTCTAATTTTCTTGTGACCCAGTTGAGTAGATAGTATTACTCCCATTTTAGAGTTGAAGAAAGTGAGGCTTTAACCTTTTCAAGGTCACACAATTTATAATCATTAAAAAAAATAAAGTGTTGACATAGGCCACAAAGTTATATTTAATTAAGATATTGTTTATATAGAAGTTTTGTTATGGCATGGTGGAAAAGAAGTCAGTGCTAATTAATACTTGAAATAATGTATATGCATTTGTCACCTGACCGATGAACATCCAGCTTTATGACCAGGAATGAGCTGTTGGGAGGCGGGGAGGGAGGACTGCTTCACTGATCAATCTCTGGGGTAAGAGGGATCTCCAGTGGTATTTTTTCTAATGCAGATAGAGTTGACCTGTTAAATTTTGACTCTTCTTGCCAGATCTAGGTCCATCTCCCTCATGCACCCTACCTTTAAAGTATTCCTTGGCTGTTCCTGGGTGGGGAAGAACAAGTGGGTAGGACTCAGATGTGTACCCGGCATCTTGAGTTCTCAGACTGAAGTTTCTCATAGAAACTCTTAACGGTGTTTAAGACTACTTGAAATAATAGTTTGTACTATATTTTTGTATCGTTTTGGGTTAAATGCCTCTGAAAGCTGACTTGGGAAACTAGTCATCATTTTATAATATTTCCAAGATGATGAGTTTGGAATTCCAAGTAAGAAACTTACAAATGAACTTGATAGTGACAGCTTTATAAATTGAACTAATTGCCCTTGATATGAGAATAAGTTGTTGTTTTAATTCAATTAATACGTGCACACAGTATAAAAATCAAATAGTGCTAAAAGGCTTAACAGAAAACACAGCAGTGTCCTACCCTTGGTCTTTTTATCCTCCAGGTCCTACTTTCCAGTGGAGGCTACCAATCTCATACTAGTTCTGTTTATTTATTTATTTTCCTATTTTTTACAGTCATATTTTGAAATTATAGAATAAGCATTCGATTGCCTAATACCATAATTGAGCACTTGCACTGTTCTCTGCCCCAGTTCCTCGATATAGCTACATAACAATTTTTGGTAAAACCACCAATCAGTATTTACATTATTGCATATATATTTATTGCTCACTTCTGAGTTAAATAGTGATGCCAGATTATGGGGTTTTTTTTTCCCCCTGGAGCAAATAACTGCCTTCAACTTTTTGGTTAGTTTTTCATGTATTTATGGCTACATTCCTCAAATACCCCAAGAAATATGTTCAATGCCTTTGATATTTTTTTCCAGGTAGCAGTCGTCTCTCATCCCACTTGGTTTCCTCGTAGAGAATCCCTGCTTGGGAGCCTTCCATCCTCCTATTCCATTCTGGACAGTAGGATTGTTTTTCCTGTAATTTCTGTTCCCTTCTCTCCTGCCTTAGAGCCTGTTTCCTGGATCACTTGTTTTCTTTTTCTTGGTTTGCTTTGTTTTGCTAAAGGGTATGTTGAGTAGCTTCCTAAGAAGGGATGCATGGGAGGTAAATTATTTGAGGCCTTGCATGTCTGAAGGTGTCTACCATAGGTGCTTTATAGGTCCTTTATAGATAATTTGGCTACCTTCAGAATAGTAGGCTGAAAATATATTTTTTCCCCATAATTTTGGATTGGATTTAAGGGTTTCTGATGAAAAACTCAAAACCATCTGATTTTTGTTTGTTTTTATTTTTCTGTTTTTATTGAAGCTCAGGGTCTTTTTCTCTGGTATTCTGAAATTTATTTTTTAAAAAAGATTTTATTTATTTATTTGAGAGAGAGAGAGAGAGAGAGCAGGAGAGGGAGAGGGAGAAGCAGACTCCCCACTCAGCAGAGAGCCCGATAGGGCTCAATCCCAGGATCCTCAGATCATGACCTGAGCCAAAGGCAGACGCTTAACTGACTGAGCCACCCAGGCACCCCTGGCATTCTGAAATTTTAGTAAGCTTTTGTGTGGGTCCTTCCTTCTGTTCGCCTGTTGTCTCTCTTAGTTAGGCCCTGTGGATCTAGAGACTCATATTCTTCAGTTTTCAAAAATGTCTGTTACTTTGATGATTTCCTACCCTTTGTTTTTTGTTTTTTTCTGAGACATCTATTGGTTTGATTCTTGAATCTCCTGGAATTGATCTTCAGATACTCTTAACCTATGTTGCCTCTTGTTTATATCTTTATATTTGGAGGTGGAAAGTGTGTGGGTGGGAATCTTCTCAATTATGTCTTCTAAACTTTTATTTTTAAAATTTTAATGATGTTTTTAAGTTTCAGAAGCTCTTTTTGTTCTCTGTTTTCATTTCCATTTATTTTCATTTTCTGTTTCCATTTTATTCTTTATGGATGTATTATCTTTGAGGTATGTGTAATTTTTTCTATATTTTTCATTTTTTCTGTATGTTTAATATGTTTTTAATATTTCTTCTGCTTCCTCCAGTGTGCTTGTTCATTTCAGGGTTCTTTTTATGGTTCTTTAGATTACAAATGTCTGGTCATCCTTGGCTGTCTGCAATTAAGAGTGAGATGCTGAAAAGTTGATTAGGAGAGAGAGTATGTGTGCTGGTGGTCTAGTGACTTCCTTTGGAGTACAGGTAGACTTTTCATTGCCCATCTACTCCACATATCGGCACCTTCACGTCTTCCTTGAGAACAGTGTCTGCAGAGAATTTACTTCGAATATCCTGCCGCTAATGTGTTTGGTAATACACTGGCTGCCTGGGTTTGGGTTATCTGGTTGAGGAGGGATGGAATGGAGATAAAGGCCACCCACCATTCAAGCTGTAGACTTTGACTGCTCCTCTTTACAGTTCTCCTGCCTCCGTGGTTCAGTTTCTTCAGGAAAAACTTATGGTCTCCTGCTGGATCTGGTGGCCCACCCCTTGTAGAGGCACCCACTTTGTCAGGCCTGAGCCTCAGGTTGGCTTTTGGTACCTCAGGGGTCCTGAGGAGCAGTGACCACTTCTTCATCTGGCATCCCTCTTGGAAAAGTTTGTTGAAATGATGTGTTTGTTGTTGTCTTCTTTCCCTTTCTGTTTGTCTTTGTGGTTTAATGTCTTTGTGATTTCATTAGTATCGTTCAAAGGAGTTTGGGGATGAAATGGGGAT